CTACATCGGTGTGGGTTTACCCCTGATCAACGTGCCATTGTGAAGGCGAAGGCGTCCAACTACACATCTGAAGCGATGGAGGTGGCGATCAAAGGTGTTTCCAACGTTCAAGATACCGAAGCTACGTCGCACCGAGGCTGGTGCGTTCTTGGCCGATATGAAAGAGGATGATGACAACTACGTTCCAGCGCCGCCATTGCCATGGTCAGCAGAGTTCGAGAACGGGCAGCAGTTTCAGGAGGACCAAATTGCCGACATCGAGGCGCTGCTTGCGGGCGAGACCATGCCGGATACCACTGAGCCGGACGAGATCTTCGAGGAGACCGAGCTGATAGAGGTGTTGGCCGCTACCTGGAAGAAGAAACGCCAGGAGATCAACGACGCCCGCAAGACTCGCAACTTCCAGGAGGCCGACAAACTGCAGATCACGTTCCGCCGCGAGCTGGAAGAAGCCAAGCGGAAGACTCGGTGTCATGCGTGCAAGCAGGTGGGGCACTGGTCCAGAGAGTGCCCAGTGAAGAAGGGAAAAGGTTTCGGCAAGGGCAAGGGACGCCCACCACCACCTGTGGGTGCAGGAGCAGCGTTTCTCGTTCTCGAAGGGTCTGGTGCTCATGAGGCCCGCGTGGCGCCCGTGCTCCAGCAGCTGAGGGCGTGCCGCAGTGGCGAGCAGGTGCTGGAGGTGTTCTTCGCGTGTCCAGTCGGCAAGGGCGTGGTGGATCCTGGCTGCGGCAGGACTCTGATCGGAGCCAACCATCTGGCCAAGCTCCAGAAGCTGCTCACGTCCAGAGGCTGCAACCTTGAGTACTACCAGGAGGCCAACGTGTTCAGGTTCGGCAACAGCGGACGTGAAGAGACCACGCAAGCCGTCAGAATTCCAGTGAAGATTGGCGGCGTGGACGGCCACATCACAGCTGCGGTGGTGCGTGGCGACGTCCCCTTGCTCCTCAGCAAGCCACTCTTGAAGGCGCTGCAGGGTCGTATGGATTTCACGACGAACCAGATCACCTTTGACGCGCTGGACACCACAGTGGAGCTCAAAGAGACAGAGTTGGGCAATTATGTCATGCCGGTGTTGAAACTGGAGACCAGCGCAGCCATCGTGGACGGTCACGACCGGGAGTCTACGGTCTCCCAGCCAGCGCTTGAGCCGACGAATGACCAGAAGGAGGAGGAGAAGAGCAAGGAGGCAGACAAGGAGGAGTCGCAGAAGGATCAGGAGGAGCCGCAGAGGGACCAGGAGAAATTACAGTAGGACCTGGAGGAGCCCGGGACCTCGGTGATGAAACGAAAAACCAGACGACAACTTTAGGAACAGCTTCGGGATGCCCTGGGAGTTTCTCACGAAAAGACAACCTGGAGAGTATCGGAACTGTACTCACCGCCGCGTGTACTTAAGCGTGCCGAAGATACGGATCGTGGAACGGGACGGAGTTATGATCCACTTACCGGTAACGATTTATCAAACCGACCGGTACAGCATCGGGTTTCAAATGAGTTGAAACGCTTCCGACCCCGGGTCCTAGTGGCCTGTCCGCCTTGCACGTGGCGTGGTGGTTTTGCGACGGTGAATGCACACTTACACAGTGTGACCGAACATATGCGTATGGTACGTGAAGCGCGCGCACACACATCAGGTACAGCATATAAGAATTACACGCACAGCTCGATCGAGGGCACGATACAATTTTCGAACACCCCATGCGGTCCCTGGCCTGGAAGATGCCCGAAATGCAACGACTCCGGGGACGAATGATCGAGGTACAAACAGGTATGTGTGCACATGGTTTGCGGGAGCCCGGGGGTCACAAATACTTGAGGAAACATACACGTGTGTTGGTGTCGTCTCAGCGACTGGCGAGCTGTCTGGGAAAACGGTGTCCTGGAAACCACGATCATGTGACGATTGAGGGGAAATCAAATGGCGTTTCCAGGAGCAAGTGGGCAGGTCTCTACACCTCAGATTTCTGCGAAGCTATCCTACGAGGCACCGACGACCTCGAACAGTTTTGGGCCGCTCACGTGGACACTCCTCTGAGGTTTGAGCAGGAGCTTGCGCTGGTGCCACTGGAGACTGGGCACGGTGCTGCATCCCTTCGCGGGAAGTTACAGCTGCTGGAGGCAGAGCTCGAGCAGTGCTGCCTGGCAGCGGGCTTGGAGGGTCCTGCGCCCGACCAGGACGTCTCCGACTCCCCTCAGACACCTCCTCCCATCGCCAATTCCCAGAACATTCGGAACGCCCTCCAGAAGTTACACATCAACTTGGGCCACGCGGCCCCCAGGGAGATGGTCCGAATACTGAAACACGGGGGAGGACACGATGAGGCCATAAAACTAGCCAGGAGTTTTCACTGCGACATCTGTGCCGAAAACAAGATGCCCAAACCCTCCGGGACCGTGTCTGGACACCGTATTCTGGAATTCAACAAACAACTGGGGATCGATGGGATGAATATTCCTGGGTGGAAGGGACCTACACGCACCGTCCCCGCTCTGAACACGGTGGATGATGCCTCGTCTTACAAAGTTGTCGTGCCATTACTCCAAGGGGAAAACTCCGGGACTATCCGAGAAGGATACTGACAGTTTTGGAAACGATGGGCTGGTCCTGCTGAGCGTATTGTTGTAGACGCGGGAAAAGCGAATGTTGGGGCTGCCCTGACTGACCCTCTCGAGCTCGAACAGACCGAGATCGTACCTGTGGCGGGAGAAGGACAGTGGCAAAACGCGAAGACGGAATCATACGGGGGTTGGTGGAAGCGGATTTTCAAGAAGCTGCTGGAGACAGCACAGCCCAAGAATTATGACGAGTGGGCCGAATGCGTTGATGCGACGACCGACGCCAAGCAGCGGATGCTGCGGGTAGACGGTTACTCTCCCTACCAGCATGTGTTGGGCCAGGAACCCCGACTCCCAGGAGATTTGCTCCAAGACGCTGCGGATGTGGTGAGTGCGTCCGGGCCTTTTGTATGACAATGCTTGTGCTCGAGCCCGGGAGATCCGTCAATTTGCGATGCATGCGCTCCTGCAGGCCCGGGACGACCAAGACCTCCGCCGAGCCGTCGCTTCCCGAAATCGAGTTACCTATCCGCTCCAACCAGGGGACAAGGTGGCCTACTCGAGGAAGGGGAAGAAAGGACATGCCAGTTGGCCAGGGCGCGGAATTCTCATCGGACAACAGGGTCGAAACTGGTGGCTATCGCATCGGGGACATCTCATTCGAGCTGACCTTTCCCATTTTCGCCCAGCCTCGACGAGCGAGGTGCAAGCGGATCAGTTGGTGGAGCAAGTGCTCCAGAGCGAACAACAACGACTGAGTACTGTTGGGGAACACCTACACTTCTTGGACCTTCCCCGACAGGAGGTCCCTCCAGGTCCACCACAGAGGTACTCAGAAGGCCCTCCCACGGAAGCCCCAGTCGGTACAGATCCCGAGCTTGCTGGCCCCGCAGGACCTCCAACCGCTGATGAGCCACAGATGGTTCCTGGACCCCCAGTGCCCCAAGAACCTACCGTCGAGGTACCTCCGACTCCAGCAGTAGGTCCGACTCCGATTCCAAGTCAGCCACGACGACGGTTTACGATGAAACAAACGGTATCCGAACGACCAGCTTCACGACAGCTACAACGACGTGAGACGACGAAACGATCGATTGACGAAATCACCCAACTGGTACCCCAGCAGGCCTCTAGGATCCCACCGGTTCCCGAAGGACACGATCAGACGACGGGTGACGACGATGACGACGCTGACCTACATCCCCTAATGGCTCCAGGGGACGTGGCGATGGAAAACATGCCCATCTTACGACAGGCGATGCGGACGCCGTCCCCCGACCGCGAATCTTTGATGGTTCAGTCCGTTGGACCTGAACATGCTGTTTTTGCTGCCGAAGCTATCGAACAGATTCAGCGGCTGGAGGCCACGAACACAGCGGAGTGGCTACAACGTTTTACCACTCTCCTTGCTGGAGCGATCTCTCGTCGCGGCCGGAAAGAGCTCCGTTTTCGAGGAGCCTCCGGTGACCTGTTGCGCAAAGCCGAGACAGCCCGCGCCCTGGAGATTGATAACCTGATCCAGAAGGGGTGTCTCAGAGTGATTTCCAAGAGGGAGGAGAAGGAGGTCAGGGAAAAATGGAACCAACGGTTTATTCCTGGACGGTTTGTGATGACGGAAAATGAGGAGAAAGGGCAGCCTACACGAATCAAAGCCCGATGGTGCCTTCGGGGGTACTTGGATCCCGACTTGCCAGACTTGCTTCAGGAGGGAAAGCTACAGAGTCCAACGATTACCCCTTTGGTCGAGCGGTGTGTTTCCAGATGGTGGCCAGCCACCAGTGGGACCTGCAATTCGATGACGTTCACTGTGCTTTTCCAAAGCCAAGAACATCAAAGGACAAAAAGCCCCTTTTCACCACGCGGCCCAAGGGGGTGCCAGGACATCCCGAGGGAGAAATACTGGAAGTGGCTGGAAACCTGTATGGCAAAAACGATGCCTGGTTCCAGGAGTTTGATGGATATCTACAACAACTTGGCTCCTGCCCTAGTCGTTTCGATCCGTGCCTGTATTTCTTGCGCGACCAGGAGAGCCTGGTCGGGATACTGGCCTGCCACGTGGACGACAGTATCACTGGTGGGCACGGAACCCCGTATGCCGAAGCCATCCGACTCCTGCTCGAACGTCTCCCTTTTCGAAAATGGCAAGTACACCATGGGGAATTTTGCGGGATTCATTACACCCAGGACCCGAAGACCAAGATGATCCAGGGAAATCAGGCGAAGTTTGTGGAAAAGATGCGACCAGTTCGTTTCAACCGACAACGACTCCTGGACCCCACGGTGAAAGCAACCGATCATGAGATTGCCCAGGAACGATCGTGTTTTGGAGACGGAGGTTGGGTGTGCAAGGAGACGCGGCCTGCTCTGTCGTGCCAGGTATCTTTTGGTCAGACTTGCTTCCCACAACCGACTGTGGGCGAGCTGGCGCACGGTGCAGCGATGGTACGTCGTGCCAAGCAATACGCTGACCTTGCGAATTCGTATTTGCCGATCCCTCCAGAACAGCTGACGATGATTGCTCATCTTGATGCTGCGTGGGGAAATGCGAAGAACAACGGGACCCAGGCCGGTCACATTCTAGCGTTTACCTCGACCGACATGGCGGCAGGAAAAGAGGCTCCCTGTACCCCGTTTAACTGGCGATCGTTCCGACTGAAGCGCCTGGTGCCCAATACACTATCAGGGGAAGCACAGGCCGCTTCGATATGTTGTCCCGCTCTTGAATGGATGTCGTCGTTGCTTTATGAGGCCCTCGACGGACCCGTTGATATTGGAAACCTCGACGCGTGTATGAACACCCGCAAACCTATCGTGGTTACTGACTGTAAGTCTTTGTACGACCATGTGAAGGCAAACACGTCACCAGCTAGCCTAGAAGATAAACGGTGTGCTATCGATGTCGTGGTGATTAAAGACTCGGTAAAACGGTGTGGTGCAAGTTTTAGGTGGTGCCCTACAAACCAACAACTAGCGGATGCTCTGGCTAAGGATAAAGGGGACCCTGCAGACCTCCTACGAGCCTGTATGAGAGCCCAGAGGTACCAACTCGCCGACGAACAGTACGTGCTAGACTGAAAGGCCACTGAGCGTGAGAACCGACGGATATACGAGGGGCCCAACGTAAGGAACAATCAAACAGGGTATCAGGGGAACCCGTATGATTGTGACGACTGTGGGGGATTTGGGGCTCAGCCAATTTCTTATTTTCACGACGCCTTGCGACCAACCTTTGTGAAGACAAAGCTGCGTCTACTGTGTTTCACATTTACACTGATGGTCAAGAAGGAGCCCGCGGAGCCCCAGGCCATCGTGGGGGAAGACTTTGCACAGAGGCTCCACAAGACGCGTCTCCGTGTGAAGGGCGAGGAGACTACCAGCGCGACGCTGGGTTTTGGCAAGCACAAAGGCAAGAGTTTCGAGTCCGTGTGGCAGACCGACCCCGGCTACTGTGCGTGGGGTGTTCCTCACCTCAACCCCTCCAGTGGTTACAGTCAGGCAGCCTGGCTGGAGTATCTGGTGGAACAGAGTGAGAGCGGTGCCGTACGTCCCGGTACCTCGTCCGAAGTGAAGACCTCTGAAACCGATTCCGAACTACTGAGCAAAGTGTTTTCTCAGGGAGACGCTGCTGAGAACCTTGACAGTCGCGTCTCCTGGCTCGAGGCTGCCGACAATTTTACTCAGTTCGACAATCGCGTGGAGGCTCTTGAGGCTAAGGTGCTGCAGCTCGAGCATGCGCTGACGCGGGTGATTGAGGCACTGGCTGGCTCGGGCATTCAGGTGAATTTACAGTGAGAAGGTTGCTTCTCGGCTAAAAGATTTTAGAGGAGTGTTTTTGTCAGTTTGAGCCACAGACCAGTGTCTTGCCTAGAGAGTTGTCTCAACAGTCACAGTGCAACAGTCTGGGATCATTTCAGTGGTTCTTGTTACATTGCATGCTCTGTCTCTGCTGCCGCTTCGGAGAAGGGGATATGCCGAGAGCGCGAGGCGCACGATAAACCCTTTCTTTTTACGTTCTGTCACGTCGACCAGTGGGAAGCCTTGGCTTCCGCAGAGAAGGAGGAGGAGCAGACTGAGGAGGAGGAGGAGGAGGGAGAATAGGATTAGGAATAGAAATCCGCCGACCCTGCCGGCGTGTGTGAGGGGCTTCCCCGTTCGAGTCGGGCTTCTCCGTTCGTGTCGTCGTCTCCGTCGTCCTCTGTTCTGTTTCTCTGGGCCCTCCTCCTCAAGCACGCCATCCAAAGCAAAATTGAGCAACGTCGGAGTGGAGTCGAAGAGAAGCCCCTTCCCTTTGATCCCTTCCCCACGGGGGAGGGGGTCCCGGGGTGGTCCCAGGGGGTCCAGGGGGGGATCCAGGGGGGTGTCCCGGAATAAGAATGAGGAATCAGGAAATACAAATTAGGAATAAGAATAGGAATAGGAATCGGAATTGGATTAGGAATAGGAATAGGAATAGGAATAGGAACATGAACAGGACAGGGAAAGGAGTGGGAACAGGAACAGGAACGGGAACAGGAACAGGAAAAGGAATGAATAGAAATGGGAATAGGAATAGGAAGGGGAATATGACCAGGATAAGAATAGGAATACGAATAGGAATAGAAATTAAATGACAAAAAAATATGAATAAGAAGACAAATAGGAATAGGAATAGAAATAGGAGAAAGAATTGGAATAGTATTCGGAATAGGAATAGGAATAGGAATTGGGACTTCCCCTGCCCCACCCGGCCGGCAGTCAACCTGGAACCATGCGCACTCCATGAGGGCCCCAGCTCTACCCTGGCAAGTCGAATTGAGAGTCGCCAAGCCCCGAGGGACCCCCGGCAGCCTGCGGCGGCGCGAAGGCCAGCGGCGCCTGCGGCGGAGGCCCACAGTACAGCAGCCGCTGCGGGGAGCCATCCGCGGACGGCGGGGGCGGCAGCAGCGGCGGCCCGGCCGCAAGTGCCTCCACGCGGCGTCGCCGCCGCCGTCGCCCGGCTCGCAGGCGCGCCCGCGGGCGCTGATCGTCTTCGTTGTTCGCCGCCGTCGCCTTCCTCCTACTCCTGCCCCTGCTTCTCCTCCTCCTCCTCCTCCTCCTCCACCTCCTCCTGCTCCCCTCCTCCTCCTCCTGATCATCATCATCCTCATCCCCCCGCACCATCGCATCAGCATCACCATCACAACCATCACCATTGCCACCACCACCACCATCCTCATCCTCATCCTCATCATCATCATCAGCAGCAGCAGCATCATCATCATCATCATCAGCAGCAGCATCAGCAGCATCATCAGCTTCAGCAGTATCATCAGCATAAACATCAGCATCAGCATCATCAGCATCATCAGAATCATCATCAGCATCATCATCGGCATCAGCATCAGCATCATCAGCATCATCAGCATCATCAGCATCATTGTCATCATCATCATCATCATCATCATCATCATCATCATCATCGTCATCATCATCATCAGCATCAGCAGCAGCAGCAGCATCACCACCATCACCACCATCATCATCATCATCATCATCATCATCATCATCATCATCACCACCATCCCCCTCCTCTTCCTTCCTCCTTCCTCCTCCTCCTCCTCCATCTCCTTCTCCTTCTCCTTCTCCCTCCCTAACACACTCCCCCCCATCCCTCCCTCTCTCCCTCCCTCCCACCCTCCCACCTCCTCCTCCTCCCTCCTCTCTCCTCCCTCCTCCTTCCTCCTCCCCTGATCCGTCCTCCTGCGTCTTCCCCCTGCTCATCTTCGTCATCGTCCTCGGAGGCCTCCCTCGGCGATTCGGCGACTTTGCGAGGGTGTCTCGATCAGCAGTATCATCAGCTTCAGCAGTATCATCAGCATAAACATCAGCATCAGCATCATCAGCATCATCAGAATCATCATCAGCATCATCATCGGCATCATCATCATCATCATCATCATCAGCATCATCATCATCATCATCATCATCATCATCATCAGCATCAGCATCATCATCATCATCAGCATCATCATCATCATCATCATCATCATCATCATCATCATCATCATCATCATCATCATCACCATCGCCATCATCAGCAGCAGCAGCATCATCATCAACCCACCACCACCATCATCATCACCGCCAACAGAAGCAACAGCAACAACAATAGCAACATAAATAACAGCAAACACAACAACAACAGCAACAACGACAACAACCACAGCAGCAACAACGACCACAACAGCAGCAGCCGTAACAAAAACAACAACAACAATAACAACAACAACCACAGCAGCAGCAACAAAAACAACAGCAACAAAAAGCAACAGCAACAACAACAACAACAGCAGCAACAGCAGCACCGACAACGACGACGACGACGACGACGACGACAACGACGACAACAACAACAACAACAACAACAACAACAACAACAACAACAACAACAACAACAACAACAACAACGACGACGACGACGCCGACGACGACGACGTCAACAACAACAACAACAACAACGACGACAACGACGACGACGACGACGACAACAACCACCACCACCCCACCACCACCACCGCCACAACAACAACAACAACAACAACAACAACAACAATCACAACCACAACCACAACAACAACAGCAACATCAACAACGACACCAGCATCATCATCCTCATTATCATCATCATGATCAGCCTCATCGTCATCATCGTACTCATCGTCGTCACCGTCATCGTCGTCTTCATCATAATCCTGATCATCCTGATCATCATCAGCAGCAGCATCAGGAATACCTCATCATCATCACAATCACAATCACGATCACCAGCACCTACAGTACATCATCAGCATCAACATGATCAGCAGCAGCAGCATCGTCATCATCATCACCACCACCATCACCATCATTCCCCATCAGCATCATCATGATCATCAGCATCATCAGCATCGACATCATCATCATCATCATCATCACCATCAGCAGCAGCATCAACAGCATCATATCGTCGTCATCATCACCAGCACAGTCGTCATGAGCGTCAGCATATCATCATCAGACTCATCATCATCATCATCATCAGCAGCAGCAGCATCATCGTCATCATCAGCATCAACGTCATCATCAGCATCACCACCAACACCATCATCATCACCAATCACCATCATCATTCCCCATCATCAGCATCATCATCATGAACATCATCATCTTCAGCATCATCAGCATTATCATCATCAAGCCCAGGGGCACGCAAGTGCGCCTCCACTCCCATGACACCCGGGGGCCCGGGGCACTGGGGTCAAGGTCTGAGGTTCCACGTTTGCCTCTGCCTGGGCCGGGTCAATTTAGGGCATGGCCCCGTGGCACTCGTGAAGTTACCGGCGCAAAATATTGTACGTGAGGGGCCATGGAGGCCCTCGCTTGCAGAGAGGGAAGAGGTGGTGGAAGAAGAAGGAGAAGAAGAAGAGGAAAAAAAAGAGGCGCAAGCAGCAGGCAAAAGCGGCCGGCCCAGAGGAGAGAAAGGAAAACATAGGTGTGAGGGGGTCGGTCGGCGTCGTCGGGGATCTCGGTTGCAGCAGCCGAAACAGTCCTCGTGGTCGCCGTAATTGCGGTCGTGGTGCTGCTGCTGCTGCTGCTGCTGATGCTGGTGCCCGCCGCTACGGCGTCTGCTGCTGTCACATTCGCGATGTTCACGGTAGTCGTGGCCGCTCTGGTGCTGCTCGTCGCGATGGTTTGCGATGGTGCTGCTGTGCGGTCGCCCCTGCTGGTGCCTTCTGCCTCCTCCTCCTCCTCCTTCACCTCCTCCTCCTCCTCCTCCTCCTCCTCCTCCTCCTCCTCCCCCACCCCCCTCCTCCTCGTCCTCGTCCTCCTCCTCCTCCTCCTCCTCCACCTCCTCCTCCTTCTCCCCCATTCCTTATCCTTGTAATTAACTCCTCCCTGTCTAACACTGACGACAACTTCACCGATTGAGGGCTGGTCGTTTTCAAACTGTGGCTCTCGCCCAAGCGCCACGCTCATTCGTTTTCAAAACTTGCAAGAGCTTAACGGATTGAGGGCGAGTCGTTTTAAAAATGTGGCTCTCGCCTTAGCGCCACGCACATTCGTTGCAAAGAATACAAGGGTTTCGCGGATTGAGGGCGGATGGCTTTCACAGTGTAGTTCTCGCCTTAGCGTCGAGCACAGTCGTTCTAAACATCTGGAAGAGCTTCACGAATTCAGGGCGGGTCGTTTTCAAAATGTGGCTATCGCCGAAGCGCCACGCACATTCGTTTTAAACAGTCGCAAGAGCTTCACGGATTGAGGGCGGATCGTCTTCAAAATGTGGCTCTCGTCTTAGCGCCGAGCACCTTTTTTCTAAAAGTTCGTAAGAGTTTCACTGATGGATGGCGGGTCGTTTTCATAAGTTGGCTCTCGCCGAAGCGCCACGCACATTCGTTTTTAACATTTGCCTGAGTTTCACTGATCCTCATGGTTACCGTACCAGAAACGGTGTTTTGAAACGATGCAGGACTGTCAAGGCGCAACAATTACATTGATTCGCGGTGTTGAAGTCCCAGGAGTTCTACTCTTATACGACTTGGGATCGCCAAGACGTAAGAGTCAGGTTAACTCGTGACGTTGAAGTCCTGAGAATTGTGTTATCACGTTTCAAGATGTTCACACGGTTGTCCCCCAACGGGGCAAGTCCCTCACTGGAAATGACCCCTTGTAACTTGTAGGGACCTCTGAAGAAGGATCTTCGAGGGAGGGTATATTTCAATATCGTTGACGAGTCTTGGGTTTACACTGGTCCTCCTCCTCCTCCTCCTCCTCCTCCTCCTCCTCCTCCTCCTCCTCCTCCTCCTCCTCCTCCTCCTCCTCTGGCGGCGTGAAGTGATGACGCCAGAGATCCTCCCTGCCTCTCGGTTCGTGGCTCGCCTCCCCAATCGGGCCCAGGAGCTCTTCGCGCGGGGGCTTTTCCATACCGCCTCCTCCTAGTTCCCCAGCCGGGCACCTAAGACCACCTCCTGCTTCCTCCGCCGCTTCAACTGGCCCCGAGACGGGATGTCTCTCAGCGAGGGCGGGCACGTCTTCACGGACGGGTCGGCCTACGAGGGCCACATCCCGCGTCTCTGTGAAGCGGGATAGGCGGTGGTGGTGACGCACAGGGACGGGGAGGTGGAACACGCGCTCTGCGGAGTGGTGCCACTGGCTGAGGTACCCCTCCAGGCAGCCCGCGGTTGGGAGGACTATCAAGCCCTCCAGCTTGCGCTGAATGCAGTGTTGAGCCCAGGCGTTCGGCGTCATTTGGATGGCGCTGGCACGATGAAGTGCGCCAAGGACCCTCGGACCGCGGCGACGCCCCAGAACCCGAGGGCCCACTGGTGGGCCCAAGTCAACGATAATTTGGACGGCGCGGCCGCCCATACGATCCCGCTCCACTGCTCTGAGAATGATGTTATCGGCAACCAGCTCCACTGCTCCACCCGCTGCCGAATGGCTCGGCAACCAGGCGGCCGACTGGTACGCCTAGTTGTTTCGCAGCTCAGACGAGGACCGCCGCTTTGTCATAGCTTGCCATGAGATTGCTCACCAGGTGTCGATTTCCTCGGCCAGGCAAGATGTGCATATAGCTGACGCCCTCTGTTTCGACCAAGTCCCCGTGGATTTGGCTGAAATCCATCACCTGAGAACGCCCGCGTCCTGCAGGACATGATGCTGAGAGGGGTTTGGGGCGGTGGAGGGGGCGGGAAGCACTCCCGCCCCCTCTGCCGTCCCAGCCACCCCCGCAAGCCAGTCCCCAGCAACCAGCAAGCCAAATCGGAAAAAATCAGATCGGCAAAATGAGCCAGATCGACAGAGTTGCAAATTCGATTTGATCGGGGTCGCACCAGACGGGTCGAAGCGAAACTGGCCCTCGGAATGTCGTCCGTCGTCGGGGATGGGCACGCGGGTTCGGCGGCGCCCGCCGCGAGTGCGGCTGGCGGCCCTGGGCCGCAGCTGGGCGA